CATCACCCCCGAGTAATCGGATCCGGATCCTCTGCCGTAAGGCAGAGGTGCCTTGCACATCGGACGGCAAGGGAGCGGCCAAGACGGCCTTGAGATCGGCGAAAAAGTGGAGCCCAAGATCTCCGACCGCTGAATTGTAGATCGGACGACCGGGAAGAAGCAAGGCACCCTACCTTACTCTAAAGTAAGGTAGAGGCTCCGGATCTGATGCTTGTCTTTGTCATTTCAAGTTATTCTGTTGGAACGCCACCCCACTTGCCACTTGGTCACCCAATCACCGATGCTCCAGTCCGTGGGGATATGAACGTCTATGGTTCGTCGTCGTTCCTTCATCTTCGTTGCTACAGAGATTCTCAATGACCAATGATGATGCTCTTTCTAGACTAGATTCTAGTGAGATTGACCTGAACAGATCGATACAACTCTTGTGACATCGCTCTTGCACACCAAAAGTGTATACTTGAACTAGCTACATGTTCATATTTTAGAATGGAGTTTATGTTACACTTAAATGAGTATATTGCTTAAATGAAATGAGTATAGACAAATGAGTATTTGAGCACATTTGAGATTTCAAATGACATTTGAATTTTTCGATGCTCATTTTGTAAATTATGCATGCACATTTAGCATTGGTGTTTTACTCATTTTAAAATGTCATATCAATTCATATTTCAAAAGTATCATTTCACATTAAATTCACGTAGGAATTGATTATAGATATAATTTAAAATTTTTACAAAAGAAAAAAAAACTAATAATTCTAGTGAATTAGAAGACACGAGAGCAGAGATCACGATATTTGATCATAGACTTTTAATACTCAATACAGTATGTTTAATGTTTTGAGGCTCAATAAAAATGTATTGATTCTCAATTAGCAGAGTCACAATATCAATACATACGATTTTCAACAGCATAATACTAAATTAGATTCATATGTAATATATTTTAATCCATGAGAGTTGATTATAGATACTACATCCGTCCCATTTTGTGTGTCATACTTTGATTTGAGACAATTATTAATTAAATGGTTGAAAAAGTAAAAATTGTGATTGAAATTTTAGTATTAAAAAGGTGAAATATTGTAGACTCTGTATTTCTTTTCACAAAAGAAAATGAGACAGAGAGTGTATAATTTATAAAAAAAAAATATATTAAAAAATAAGAAAAAAAGTGAATTAAAATGAAGCAGGGATCATGATGCTCAATATCAGACTCCTAATACTTAACATAATAGACATGATGCTCCCCAGAAATGTACTAATGCTCATTTAACAAAAGTCGTTATTTTCACCTAAATTACGAAAATGCCACCAATTGTATAGTGTAAGTCCGTACGGCTGACGGTTGGCTACACAATATACGAAACTTCTATATTAAGCAATTTCTACTAATTAATTTGATCCTTTTTGGGAGTACACTAATTAATTTGATCTATAAGCTATAAAAAAATCGTAATTAAGTTATAAACTAGTGGTGGACTAGGGTCGGGCCGCCCGACCCGTAACTGGTACTGTTTGGGCCCGGTCCGGGCCACCCGAACCGGGAATAAAACGGGGCAGGCTCGGGCCTCCTAAAAGTGGAACCGGCCTGGGCCTATTTCTTTTTTTCTTCAATTTTTTTGGTTTCTCCCGGGTTGGGCTGGGTGTTTGGGGGGGGGGGTGAGGGGGGGAGGGGGGGGTAATTAGAAAAGCAAAAGCAAATAAAAAAAATAACATGAACCGGCCCAGCCCGGAACCGGCCCGAAACCGCTGCCTACCCAGGCCGGTTCCGGTTCTCCCTTCCCAAAAAAAAAGCCCGGCCGGGTCCGGCCCGGAACCGGTCCATCACTACTTATAACGATTTTTCAAAGGTGCTCCTATAGTCCTATTCTTAAAGAGCCTAATACAAATGGATACAGTCCACTTGATTATTTGCATCAAATGGTACGATTGGTTGGCTCTAGATTCTAGAACAAGGACTTGGAAGTTGGAACCAGACCCAAACTTAGGCCAATAATACAAGACCCCACCCCCCGCGCAGGGGTGGATTCGGGTCGGGCCACCCGGCCCGGCTCGTGGACCGGCCCGGCCCGCTACTGTGCGGGATCGGGACCGGCCCGGTTCTCGAGTCCGGATCCGGGTCGGGCCTAGGCCTGTGGGGAGGGCGGGTCCGGGCTCGGGTCGTGGTTTTGGCGAACCGGCCCGACCAGTTCGGGTCGGGTACCAGGCCTATTTTAATTTTTCTTTCAATTTTTTTTTACTTTTCGGGTTGGGCTGGGTATTTTGGGCCATTTGGGGTGGTTTGGGGGTGAGGGGGGTTAACTAGGAAAAGGGGGAAAAAATAGCAATTACCCGAGGCCCGGCCCGACCCGGACCCCGGGATTACCCGGCCGGTCCCGGGCCCCCCATTCCTGAACCGCCCGCCCGACCGGTCCTAGGCCCGGCCCATGCCCGAACCGGCCCGGCTCCACCCCTACCCCGCGGCTCCGCATATACTTCATAATTTGATATAGAACCTACTCCATTACGGCTATTAAACTGCCTAATGGGGATCTCACCACCTCCCAGAACCAGGTGGCTTGTGAGTTTGTTAGGTTCTACACTGACCTTTTTGGTACTACCTGTCCAAATGAGGATATTGACCTTAACATTATTCTTTCGGTCATATGCCTGGATAGTAATAAAGCCACTGATATTATGGCCCCCATTTCTGACAAAGATTAAGGATGATATCTTTGATATTGGAGATAACAAGGCCCCTGGACCGGATGGCTATACCTCGGCCTTTTTCAAACACAAATGGAATATTGTTGGTCATGATGTTATCTTGGCTGTGAGAGGCTTCTTTAATTCTGGGAAGCTTTTAAAGCAACTTAACCATACGGTTATTGCTCTCATCCCTAAAACATCACATGATCCTACTGCTGCGGACTTTGGCCTATCGCTTGCACTAATGTCATATATAAAACTATTACTAAGATCATTGTTGCTAGAATGATCCCGTGCCTACCTGAGCTTATTGATCCCTCTTAAGGGGCCTTTATCAATGGGAGACTTATGCTTGATAATGTTTTCCTGGCAGAAGAACTTATAAACGATTATTCTAGGAAGCATGTGTCTCCTAGATCTATGATCAAGGTGGATCTCAGGAAAGCTTATGATATTATTTCATGAGAGTTTTTGCAGAATGTCCTACTGACCATTGGTTTCCCTCACAGATTTGTAGTATGGATCATGGAATGTGTTTCTACACCTTCTTATTCCATATATATATTAATGGGATTCTTCATGGTCATATTAAAGGCAAGAGGGGCTTGCGGCAAGGGGACCCCATGTCCCCCCTCCTATTTGTTATCTGCCTTGAGTACTTTTATAGACTTCTGCATAATAGGACCAAGAGTGCCTTCTTTAAGTTCCACCCCAAGTGTGGTAAACTTAACATCTCTCATGTTGCCTATGCTAACGATCTTATGCTCTTTTCTAGAGGGGATTTTCCCTCTATTAAAGTTCTTATCGATGCGTTGAATGAATTTGGGAACGTCTCTGGGCTTAAAGTTAACTTTGACAAGTCTAAAGAAGGGACTTTCCCTGTCAGATATCTGGGCGTTCCCTTGGCCCCTCTTAAGATCTTTGTGGCTCAATATGCTCCTTTAATGGATTCCATCACTAGATTTATCATTGCTTGGAATACCAAATCCCTTTCTTATGCTGGAAGAGTTGAGCTTATCAAATCTGTTATTTTAGGTGTCCATTCTTTCTGGTTACAAGCACTCCCTATTCCTAGGGCTGTACTCGATAGAATTACTTCTATGTGTTTTGCCTCCCTAAAGAGGAAGGTGGACTTGGTATCCATGATACTTATGTGTGGAATTCTGCCCTTCTTGCCAAAACCCTCTGGGATATCCATACCAAAAAGGATAACCTTTGGGTTAGGTGGATGCATTGTGTCTATCTTAATGGTAGAGGTGTGTGGAAGTTTACACCTCATAAAAGAGACTCCCGATTGATAAAAAAAAGATTGCTCTGATAAGGGACCAAAATGTGTCTCACTTTGATAACACCCATGATGCCATTAACTATCTCAATGGTTGCCAAACTAATGGCAAACTTTCCTCTGCCAAGGTGTACACTATTCTTAGAATTAAGGGGGATACTCGCATGTGGATGTCTTTCATTTGGAAGAATTATACCCCCCTAAATTCTCCTTCACTGTTTGGTTAGCTTTTTGCAACCGTCTTGCTACGTTAGATAACTTACATAGATTAGATGTTGTTAATGTTTGCCCGTTATGTAAGGGTGGCTCGGAAACGATGTCACACCTATTTTTTGCTTGTTCATTTTCAGGCAAAGTTTGGCATAGGGTGAAGACTTGGCTGGGCATTCCTAGGGAGATGGGGACCATACATAGCTCCTTGAAGTGGATAAAGAGGAAGAGACAAGGTTCGGGGATCAAAGCTAAGGCGGCTAGGATTGCATTTTGCTACTCCATCTATTGGATTTGGAGAACCCGAAATGCTACTTGTTTTGATGGCATTACTCCTAAAGAAGAAGATGTGTTTGTTAGAATCCAATACATTGTCTATAAGATCCTTTATAGCCTTTATCTGCATGAACTTGTAAACTTTTGATCTCTTTTGGGCTAGCCGTTGTTTGTGGCTGTTTTTTGCCTCTGGTTTGTGCCTGACCATCACTTGGTTTGTGTATGGCCGGTGCTTTTGATTGTTGCTTTTGTTGGGGAAGGGTTATCCTTGTTGGATAACCTACAGTTTTGTTTCCCTTTTGTTTGTACATTCTTAACCTTTGTTTTCTTGGGTGGTTTTATAAAATTGATATAGAACCTATTAAGAATCAGAATTCAGAACCAAACAATACTATAGAGCACCACGGCAATTCCGCTTAGTGGTTTAGTGGGGCAGAAACCGGACCATGTCGAACTTCTAGTGATGTTGATGAAAGCGCTTCAATTGGTAGTTAATGCGGCCGTTTGTTTTCCAGCGGCTTGATACCTTCACGCTGCAAAATGCAGCGTTTGTTGTTAAAAAATATCGGCGTTTTGTTAAAAAAACACCATTACCCAAACGGGGCCATTATCTCATATGGAAAACCAATATTACCAAAATTCACATTAACTAAAGAAAATACTACTTATTAACCCTAACTCCCTAAGGCCAATAAAGAAATAAACAGGATATACCAACCTACAACAACTTTTTTTGTTTCTATAACTGTGCTAAACTGCTAAATGCAATTTGATGGATCATTAACAATGGCTTGGAAAAATTGTGACCATATTCATAACTTCAGCCAATTTTGATGAGGTTGCTTCCCTGATTGCTTTAACATATACATGCAACTAGCTGCCGTGAAAAGTCCGAAAGCCCCCATAGCTATGACCGTTGAATTTTCAATGTTATGATAATAACCTCGCTGCAATGGATGATGGTATGGTCCCACAACAAATAGATTAGTTAGAAATAATAATAAACAAAACACAACTCAAAACACAATATTATTTCTCTTTAACAAAAAAAACCTCTATTGGTCCCCTCACTTTAAACATTTTTACTTTGGGTACCCGTGGATATTCGTATAAAATCAACCAGAAATGAACAAGATAAGTGCTCACAAGGACCAGAAATGAGCAAGATAAGTGGTCACAATGACCAGGAATGAGCAAGATAAGTGGTCACAAGGACTAAATGTGGCAAACATGAGAGTCGAAGAGCAAAATGGGAATGATTAACAGTCGCAGGAGGACTGAAAGTTGATATCTTTGTGTTAAATAATAAGAGTACTTACTTGGAGAAGAAAGAACAAGAGTGCAGCATTTGATGGGGCTAGAGATAAACTCATCATCCCTGCACGACATTCATTTGGTACAAACCTGTAATAGAAAACTGCATTATGCATTATATGATATAAAGAATCCTCTAAAGGTCTGTTTGGAACTTGGATAACAATTTTCCATAAAAGGTTATAATTACAATTGATTTTCCTTTGTATTTTCCAAGGTAAAACTGTGGAACCAAACAAAAGAAAGCACTTCTATTGCATTTCTCTCTCTTTCCCTACCATTATATGAGTTTCAACTTTCAAGCATTGCCTAAACTAAAAAGAGTACAAAACAGTGAATGCTCCTGAATATGACCATTAGCATTAGTAAGGAAAGAGATGAAGCAGTGTCATTTACATGGTTCTTAATCTGGCAAGTGAAGGCAAAACCAGTCCCAAACAAGCATGGAATAGACAGAACAGTACCAAAAGAGTTTCAATTTCCTGCAATCAAATCGAAAGTATGAATGCCAGGTTTGAATATAAATAACATAAACATAAATTTATTTTAATATATTTAACTTATTATTTAAATTGAATTAAGGCTTATTGCCAGACTTGGTCCCCGCGCTATGTACTATTACTTAATTTTGTTGAGCTTGCAATTTAGACTCAATTACATCTCTTGCATATTTTGCATAAATTGAGAAGGGTATTTGTGTATGCTAGGGTAGGATAGTGGGTCCAAATTACATAGTTGAGAGCAAAATGGAGTTCAAAATTGGGTCTAAATTTAGTAGTCGAAGATCAAATTGAGTAATACGGAGTAGTATATAGTCAAGAGACTAAATTTCTGTTAACTCGTAACTTACATTTATAATAAATTATTACAAATTAAGTTTAACAAATTTACTACTACCTCCGTCCCTTTGGATATTGTGTGTCAAATAAGAAAAGTAAAAAATGTGATTGAAGTTTGTGCGTGCTTATGACAGAAAGATAAGCATAACCACAAATTAATTACTTTAAACGGAAAGTGGCAAAGTTTTTGGAACAACAAAAAAAGGAAAGTTGGCAAAGTCCAATAGGACAGAAGAAGTATTTAACAAATTAAAGGGAAAATTATCAAATAGGACCTCATACTTGATCAAATACGGCAATTAAGTCCTTGTACTTAAAACAATCAACTACTCAAAGTTGTAAAAAAACACCCAACTCCTCCATTTTGGAGGTTACTCTCCAGTTTCCCAGGTCATTTTGGATGACATGGATATATTTGTCCATTCACCTGCATTGTTGGCGCTGAATGGATATCCAATAATTTTTTATTTTCTTTTCCATGACATCTTTGTCTTCTTCAAAGTTTTACAAAAGCTCCTGCAAGTTTTACTGTGTCTGACTTTTAGGCAATCACTTTCTCTTCTTTCATCCCCATATTCTGCAATTCTCAAGTCTAAAAGATAAGAAAGATAAATTGATTGGTGGGAGACGTGTTAATCTAGATCTTTGCATCTCCCCTTCCCTATCACATTTCAGCAGCAAGATGTTTAGTTCATTAGTTCATAAGATGTCTGGATAGACAGTCATGGATTATCAGGAAACCAGCAGTAGACTGGCTAATGGGCATATTTGGATACTTTTTACAAGTTCAAGGGTTTAGTTGGGTGTTTTTGAAGTACGAGGACTTAATTGATTGTTTGAGATATTACCCAAAATGGGACTAAAAAAGTTTGAAAATTCCAAAATAGGACTTCCATGTTTTTATTCCCAAAATAGGACTAATTACTGTCATGTTTTGGCAGTACCAGACTTCAAACATGACAGTATTTTCTAAATTTAGCAATAATTAATCCTATTTTGGGAATAAAAACATGACAATCCTATTTTGGAATTTTTGAACTTTTTTAGTCCCATTTCGGGAACTTTCCCTTGATGTTTTTATAAAGTGAGAGGAGCTTATTTGCCATTCTTTCCCTAAATTAAACAACAACAATATCTACAAACTTATACACAATTAAACTTCAAGAAATACAACCAAATTTAGGGGGATGGGGTAGAAGAGGGGATGATAAAGAGGGGATGATAAAGATACCTGATAGTCATAAGCTATGATGGACAGAACAGAACCCATAACAACAAAACTGTATACTAAGTATTCCTCAGTCCGAAGTGATAATGGTCCATTGAACCATGGAAAAGCAGTGCTGCCTAGCATTCTTGCACCAAGGAGACAAGGGTATACCATCCCTAGCAAAACCTCTCTCCCATCACCCTATTATAATCGCACAAACATATTCACTTGCAATCCAAGAAACCAATAAAAACAACCCCAATCCCGTTGAAATATTATGTACCACTATAGTTGGAGCCCAAATAATCCAGAACACTGTGATTGAGAAGTGAACGCAAGCTTGTACCCATGAAAGCAACCATACTCTTTTATCTAGAACAGCATAAAGTTATAGACAATTCATCAATGACAAGACCTTATAGATTTTGTTTATTAGATATGGATTAAATATGGATGATAAAAAGCCATGTGCCTCTTCGGCTCCCTTCGCTAGCCAATAGCCATAATCAGTACATTAATGCTTAGCGAAGTGAGCAGAATATGTAGGTTTTGACTTACTTCGAGCCCATTTGGTAGACATTTTATTGGCTTATCTACATGTTTTTTCACCAAACACTAACTTAATTCATTCTGCAGTCTGAATTGGCTGATCATGAAAAAATGGTACATGTCACTTGTTTGGCAGAAATTAAATATAAGGGAAAATGGAAACTAATAATCCAACCTTTTAGCGGTCTTCTTACAATAGTCTCACCTTTTGATTATTCATACTTGAATTTACTGATTTGAATGAATTTGCTTGAGAGAAACTACTCTCAGCTGATCTTTATTTATAAGGTTCAGAATTACAACTTACAAGGAAAGAATCAAATGTACATCTATCAATTACTAACTGCTGATTTGATACAATCTGTACATTAAATGCTAAAATCAGGAAAGATATTATTTATAATCATATCAAATCTCAACACTCCCCCTCAAGCTGGTGCATAGATATCATATGCATCAAGCTTGTCACAAATATATCTTATCCTCGGACCGCGGAGTGACTTAGTGAGAAAGTCAGCTAACTGATCATTTGAATTGACAAACGATGTGAAGATTTCTCCAGAAATGACCTTTTCACGGATAAAATGACAATCGATTTCTATATGTTTTGTTCGTTCGTGAAAGACAGGGTTAGAAGCGATGTATAAAGCTGCCTGGTTATCACAGATCAGTTTCATAGGCTTCAGTTTGCAAAACTTTAACTCAGATAATAATTGTTTCAACCATATAAGTTCGCAAGTGGTGAGAGCCATGACTCGATACTCTGCTTCAGCACTTGATCTAGCAATGACACTCTGTTTCTTGCTCTTCCAGGATATTAGGTTTCCACCAATGAGAACACAGTACCCTGAAGTTGATCTCCTATCGTTTGGACAGCCAGCCCAATCCGCATCTGAATACGCAGTAATATTGTCATAACCCCGGTTTGCATAAACCAGTCCTCTTCCAGGTGAACCTTTGATGTATCTTAGGATTCGAACGACTGCATCCCAATGACTATCACATGGCGTGTTGAGGAACTGACTAACCACGCTCACGGCAAAGGAGATGTCTGGTCTGGTCATAGTGAGATAATTTAACTTTCCCACAAGTCGTCGATATCTTTCAGGATTGGAGATAGGCTCTCCCTGATCTGGCAGAAGTCGAACATTTGGATCAATTGGAGTATCAATCGGCTTACAATCTGTCATCCCGGTTTCCTTCAGAATATCAAGTGCATATTTTCTTTGAGATATGGCAATGCCAGTTTTGGATTGAGCTACCTCAATTCCAAGAAAGTAACGAAGTCGTCCCAAGTCTTTTGTTTGAAATTGTTGGGACAAGTATAGTTTAAGATTCTGTATGCCATCATGATCATCCCCTGTTATTACAATATCATCAACATAAACAACAAGGTAAGTAGACTGATTAGATAAAGATCTTTTATAAAACACAGTGTGGTCTGCTTTGCATTGAATCATCCCAAACTGTTTGAGAGCCGTACTGAATCTGCCAAACCACGCTCGTGGGGATTGTTTAAGACCATACAAGGCCTTATGCAACCGACACACATATCTACACTCCCCCTGAGCAACAAACCCAGGTGGTTGCTCCATGTAAACTTCTTCTTTTAAATTACCGTGAAGAAATGCATTTTTTTATGTCCAACTGATGTAAGGGCCAGTTACGCATAGCTGCCATGGATAAGAACAAACGTACAGAAGCCATCTTTGCAACAGGAGAAAATGTGTCACCATAATCCAAGCCAAACACTTGTGTAAACCCTTTAGCAACCAAACGCGCTTTCAACCGGTCAACTTGTCCATTAGGACCAACTTTGATTGTAAATACCCATCGACAACCAACAGTAGATTTACCATGGGGCAGGGGAACAAGAGACCAAGTACGATTTATTTCGAGGGCAGCCATCTCATCAAGCATAGCTTGACGCCATCCTGGGTGGGCAAGAGCTTCCTGGACAGTTTTAGGAATGGAAACAGAAGAGATGGAAGACACAAAAGCGTAATGGGAAGGCGATATACGATGATAACTTAGACAGTTGTAAATAGGATGCGGGTTCCGAGTGGAACGTATACCTTTTCCGGTTGCAATTGGAAGATCAGGTTGAGTCGGTGCCTCAGGTTGGTCCGGAGTAGGTAAAGGAGCTGGAGCTGGATCAGCAGGGTCAGTATTAGGGACATCCTCATTAGGTGCAGACCGCGGTCGACGCTGATAAGTAATGACTGGTTTGGCAGAAGACAATGGAGGATTGAGAGGTGACAATGGAGTAAGATGAGGAATGGGTAAGACCTGAGAGACATATTCGACTTCCACTGGTGAAGTGAAATACGGTTGATCTTCAAAGAAACTGACATCTGCAGAAGTATAGAAACGATGAGTAGAAGGTGAATAGCAACGGTACCCTTTTTGGACTCTAGAGTAGCCAAGGAATATGCACTTGATTGCTCGTGGAGATAATTTGTCAAGACCAGGGGAAAGATCCTGCACGAAACAAGTACAACCAAAGACTTTGGGAGGAACAAGGAAAATGGGGTCTTTTGGGAACAAGATAGAGTGCGGTACTTTGTTATCCAATGTAGAAGATGGCATTCGATTGATTAAATGAGCAGCTGTGAGTACAGCATCTCCCCAGAATTTTAGTGGGGCATTGGCATGAACAAGTAGTGTGCGTGCTGTTTCAATGATATGGCGATGTTTTCTTTCAGCAATCCCATTTTGCTGAGGCGTGTGGGGACATGTGGATTGATGAATTATCCCTTGAGTAGCCATATATTCATTGAAATTTGTTGAGAAATATTCCTTGGCATTATCACTACGTAGAACACGAATGGTATGATCAAACTGATTTTTTATTTCATTGCAGAAACTTTTGAAAATACCAAATAACTCTAAACGTTCTTTCATTAAATAAAGCCATGTACATCTTGAAAAATCATCAACAAAGATAACGAAGTACCGAAATCCTAAAACAGAACTGACACGACTTGGACCCCAAACATCTGAGTGAACAAGATAAAAGGGAGATTCTGCACGACTATGACTTTTTGGGAAAGTGGTTCTAACATGTTTACCAATTTGACATGACTCACAGGCTAAGGACTGTAAATTGGAGATTTGAGGTGCCATTCTCCTCAGTTTATTGAGACTAGGATGACCTAAACGTTGGTGAAGCAAAGAAGGAGACTCCATAGCAGTGCAAGCAACTGAAGAGGGAGGGGGAGTGTGAAAGTAGTATAGACCCTGAGATTCAAATCCGGCTCCAATCGTCTGTCCCGTACTCCGGTCTTGTATAGAAAAAGAGTTATCAATAAAGGTGACAACACAATTATGACGACGTGTCAGTTGACTGATAGAAACCAAGTTGAATGGACAACCAGGGATAAAAAGAACAGAATTAAGAGATAAAGAAGGATGGAGTGTGGCCTGTCCAACGCCAATGGCTTTAACTTTTGAACCATCAGCAAGTGTGACATGGTGTGCTGATTTAGGTTGAGATAACTTTGAGAAAAGAGAAGGATTACCGGCAATGTGATCAGAGGCACCAGAATCTATGATCCAAGATTTGGCAGGTCCTGATTGAGAAAGGTAAGCTGTAGAATTACCGGTAAAGTTGACTGCTGCAGGAGACATGACGTACACTGACTCGGGAACAATCTAGAATGATTAGGACTTCTATTCCTAGTGCCGGCAGACCAGTCTCGATGAAGGTTGGCTGCGGGGACGACTAGGGAAAGTGAGGATCAGGCTCTGATACCAACTTGAATTTACTGATTTGAATGAATTTGCTTGAGAGAAACTACTCTCAGCTGATCTTTATTTATAAGGTTCAGAATTACAACTTACAAGGAAAGAATCAAATGTACATCTATCAATTACTAACTGCTGATTTGATACAATCTGTACATTAAATGCTAAAATCAGGAAAGATATTATTTATAATCATATCAAATCTCAACATTCATGAATAATCCAACCTTTGCACCTCATCTTCATTCACTGGTCCCTGACCGGTTGATGACCCACTATTCCAAGTTATTTTCTTATCTTTGCAAACCATTATACCATAAATCTCACCTTTCAGAAAGATAATATTTTGCAAAGATAAGAAAATAACTTGGAATAACAGGTCATCAACCGGTCAGGGACCAGTGAATGAAGATGAGGTGCAAAGGTTGGATTATTCATGAATAATCAAAAGGTGGGACTATTGTAAGAAGACCGCTAAAAGGTTTCCATTTTAGCCAACTAAAATGTAATGATTAGTTTCCATTTTCCCTAAATATAATGATTTTTCTACATTCGCTTTGAGATATTATCTCCTTGAATATATTTGAGAAATGTATTTTTTTATACTTTTTTATATAATTCAGCTACAACTGCATCAAATTGAGTCACTTCAGAGTCCTTACCAAACAGGATCTTAATGTCTTATTTGGCTGAACCAATGTTACCAACCCCCTCATTTCATCCAAAAAAACCATACCAACCAAGCCCTTGATGCATGTCAATACTCAACATACTGCAAAACTTTTTAAGAGAAATGGAAAAAGAAAGAAATAAAGAAAAGATTGCATACCAGTTAAAATATATTTATGGAATTTAATTTTATAATCTTCATATTTGACGGCGTGAGGCAACTCTTTCCATCCTTGACTGGCATACATGAGACCAAGAATTGATAGTATTGCAGCTGCAGTGGGAAGCAAGTTCATGGTTGACCCTGAATTATTACCACCAATGAGCCAATTCCCAAGGGCTTGGCTAACAATAAAGGATGCAGATTCGCAAAAGGACATTAGCCAAAACATGTCATTTAACGCATCCCGTCTGAGACCTTGCTACAAGTTAAGCATGATTAGTTTTGCATTAGCAATTATCACATCATCAGTATGCAATACAAAGAAAAACATTGAGAGCACATTTGATATTTTAGCCTAGGATATGCTAAATCTGCTGAAAGTGTGGTAGAAATAGCTAAATCTAAATTATCTAAATTATCTTAAATATATCTTTAAGATACACTCCATATTAAAGGAAATACACCTTCCATCCCAGTTTATGCGTGCCACACAGAATTATTTACAACTCAATTGTTGTAATGTTTAATTTAACACAAACACATAAAACATACTTCCTCAGTTTTTTAAATAATTGCAACACTTTCCTTTTTGGCAGCTTCGGAATAATTGCAACAAAGGCACCGGGAGCTCTAATAATGAGTAGAAAAAGAAAGTTGACCATAACAAAAAAAGACGTGCCTTGTGTCTTTGTTTCGCCAGCCTAATCAACCAGTCTTTTGGGTAATAAATAATACTCTGTAGGTAAAGTGACTTCAATACCCTTAATACATATACTTCACTCTGATTCTTCTCTGTTCTTTCCTTTCCTTGCCCAGTTACACACCCAATTAATGTTCACTCTCTCTCTCTCTCTCTCACCCACACATTTCTACCTTCTTCACTCTTTCTTCACCAACGAGGTTAGTCAGGTTACCATGTACCACAGTCCACAGATGACCTATCTGCTTCATTCTAAATAATGAAGAGGTAGATCTTTTGATTAGTCGTTATTATAAACAAATGCACTCAATCCATTTTAGATGCAAGTCTTAATGCCTTTTTGCTTTTATTAAATTCTTGAGGTTATTTGTAAAGAACAAACCCATCTGAATATGTCAGTTCTGGTACTTTCTGATTATAACAAAGGACAGCAGAGCATTGCACGGTGTGATGATGGGGTACTGTAGCCACTTTGGATGTTTATATATTTACCCATGTAACCAAGGACACAAAAGGGAGAAAACAATTTAAGGACAGTGTTTTCATATCTGTGCCCAACTGAACGTTGCATCTATTTTAGAAAGGAGGATGTACGTCTTAAAAGTTAAAAGTTAAAAACTACATTACATTGTTCATAAAACAGGCAGTGACATGACTATTTGATTATAAAAGAATCTCAAAGAAACTAAGCTCGAAAAAGATGCTGTTAGAACAATAAATAGTAACTAAAACAGATAAAATGGGATAGAGGAGTAATATCTAAAAATGAAGATTAGAGTGCCAATTTCATGAATTTTAGCTATTTCGGCCATAAAAGTAATGTTTGTGCAACTTTTTATCATTAATAGTCGATTGAACAAGCACGATGACAAATAAGTTAACTTTTAGCGGAAACCCTGGCTAATAATGGTAGTAAGCCAAAAATAGAACTCTACCAAACAGGCTCTGGAATTGTAGAATACACCAGGTTTGACATACCTTTTCATGCTCAAATACCATCCATGTTTCAAAATTGAAGTGAAAAATTGAAGAGGAAAGAGAGAGGCAGACGTTGGCAATCCAAAGACTGGGATTCGCAATAACTTTCTTGCAAATGATTACAAAGAGATGCACCATGTAAAATAACAAACACAGTTTCTTCTGGCCACTGCAAACAAAAGAACAATAACATTTACACGAAAGCATGGAGTGCAGATTGATTATAGAAAATGTGTTTCTTTTTTTTTGAAGGAGAAATTGTGTTTCTTTTAATACCCATATCTATGAGCTTCGAGAAGTTAAATTTTATTTAGGATCCAACTGGAACCTAGAAATACTTGTGAAGGGAAATAGGGAGTAAAGTTGGAAGGGAGGGAAACTTTGGTGAAATACAAGATTCATCCAAACTCAATGAATTCCTCTAAAATATATATGTCCAAACTCATTCCATTTATTAATTCCTATAATATAAACACTAACAGATCTGAATATATGTAGAAAGAGAATCAAAATTCAGCAAACTTTGTTTTTCTTTGCACTTTTAAAGGCAAAAACAATTATAAGAAAATAAGATTCATCGGCATTTTCTGTTCCATTGAATAATATTTACCGGAATCCAAACAAGCCCTTTGGAAAACAAACTAGGAAATTCTTAATCGAGAATTAATGGGTTTATTACATTAAATCTGACAGTACCCCCAAAAAGGAGCCAACAAAGAGAGCAGCTGCACATCCAAGACACATCCACAACACCATCACATCCTTGCTAATTCCATAATATATCATTTCATTCTCCCCAAACACTGCCCATAATCCTTCTATCACTGTAAAAAAAATAAACTTCCTTTGCTCAATAGAAGTGAAAAAACACGCCAAAATTAAAAAACAGTAATGAGTTCAGTATAAGTTCAAAGCCTCCTCCCTGTTTCGGTTAACTATTGTATAAGTGTTTTGACCATAATTGCTTTATAACTTAAGGATACTCATTCAGTTTTCTACCAACCCTTCTTTGTTCCTTGAAAGCAGTCATCCCAAACGCTCTTCTAATTTGTAAATGATCAACAGAAAGTACTGTCTACCTGAAGTGAGGGAGAATAGGAAAAGGAAGCTTCTTTTGGAGTTAGAGAAGGAAGCTGAGTGTGAATGGTCAAACACATTGAACGCCCTGCCACTGGAGTTGACCCGGAAACAGCATATCGATAGCAAAGATGATGCAAAGAGGAAGATGTACAGTGCAGGGTTTGGGACCCACGCATCGGTCCCACCCATCTTGCAGAGAACAGAGAATGTGAGCAGAAATCTCAAATCTGGAGAAGAATGGGAGTGTGCACGAAATCTCAAATCTTTGAAACAGTGGCCTGGTAAGACGGTACTGCGCCCCTTCGCCGGTACTGCGGTTGTCTTCTACCTTGCTTTCTTTGGTGGAATTACTGGTGCAAAACTGATCTCGCATAGCTTTGATTTAGTTTATGAAAAAAATCATAAATATTATTGGCATTTCTTATTGGAATTCGAGCAAATAAGCTCAAATAAACTCTTATATATATGATGAAGATCTGTCTGGCCGTCGCCATTTGAGGCAGTTCCCGGCGTAACTTCTTAATGAATTTTTTTAGCATCTGATTCATTAAGTCTAGTTACTCATACCAAATTTCAGCTAAAACCTCAATTAGGAAGACATTCAAATGAATTCTTGAAGATAACTGTGTTTGTAACTGCGCAATTATCTTCAAGAATTCATTTGAATGCCTTCGTGATTGAAGTTTTAGCTGAAATTTGGTATGAGTAAACTAGACTTAATGAATAAGATGTTCAAAAAAATTCATCAAAAAATTTCACCGGGAACCGCCCCAAATGGCGACGGCCGGACAGAGCCTCCTAAATAAGGGTTTATTTAACTTTTTTTGTTTAGTACTTGGGCTTATTTGCCCCTTTTCTCTTTCTTAAAATACGATAAACAAAAAAGGAAAATTATACTTCCTCGATTTTTAAGGATGTTTTCTTTTGGACTGAAATTTGCTGGTGTGATCTTGTCTGGTCTGATCTGATAAACTTCTGGTCTCTGTGTATTTTATAACTACGGAAGTCAAGATTGGTCTAGTCTGGTCTGTTCTGATCTGGTCTGGTCTGGTATGATCTGGTCTAGTCTGGGACTGAAAACAATCCAAAAGAAAACATCCTAATTCTTGCAACATTGTGATTTTTGCACTATTCACATACCTTAGTTTGACCATGATTTTCTACTAATATACATAATCAAAATATTATGTATAAAGTGTTCTTGAATACCTATCAATGTGAATTTCCAAAACATCAACTTTTTATAATTTTTACTAATACATAATTAAATATAATTATAGTCAAAGTTGTGCGTTGGCAAACGTGAAAGTCAAACTATTGCAAGAATTAAAGAACGCATGATAGTATCTGGTAATTATAATTTTGTTCAAATTTACATTCTACTCTGTAGTTACTAAATATAAATTAATGTTATGTAAATTTTAAACATAATTATAATCATTAATAATTATTAAATCTTATTTTGCCCATTACATTTTTTTAACTTATCTAGATAGTGTTTTTTAATTTGTTTCTTAGCCTTTATCTGAATGATGTGATATCAATTTAAATCACTTTTCTTTTAAAAAAAACTTATTTAGATAGTGTTGTGACATTTTAGTGAAAAAAAATAAAAATTCAACCACAAAGTTTCAAACTAGAGCCACAATTGAAATTAGTAAGGTAACTTATTTTTTTAACTTATCTAGATAGTGTTGTCATCCACCATTTCTACCGGTTGATAATGTTGCATATTTTTATTGTTCCCTTTTATGGAGTGATTCCATCAATAATGAATAAATTTAATTTGACTTGATTATGAAGATTTTATCTTCATGTGTTTGCCGTTTTGTCGATATACTGTATATAATTTATGTAATAGTTATATGATTAAATTGATCTTTTATTTGTTTAAGAGACAAGCTCATTTTTTAATTATACTAGCATTTAAAAAACATAGGTCACATCTAATTACCATTTTACAAAGTACTAAATGTGATTAATTTTTCAGTTTTATTAAAAGACAAGTTTGTTTGTTAGATATGCCTAAATTTTCATTTTTAGTAGAGAATATTTTAGAGCTCATTTGCTAACCTAATTGTCAATTTATATGTTTTATTAGTCAATATTTTTATCAAACACATATGTTGATTGCACAATCGAATAGAGGACATGTTGCGAAAGCTTCCGAATGAGAAATATGATCTGTGATGGTGGGCATTGACAACTAAATAAATTATTTGAAAAGGAAAATTTAACTTTGAATTAGAAATCATATTGTTGGAAAATTAGGCTTAGGCCCAAATACCCAGGTTGTCCAATTAGCATACGGGTCCGGTTCCTAGTCCACCTGGATCATCATTTGCTTGAATTCGGTCTAGCTTCCTCTTCAACCCACGCTGCTGAACCTTGTGGCTTTTCTCCTCTCCCAATTCCAAGGTACTCTTCAAAAACTTATGCACCTTTTCAAGTATATTTTATTGTTTGCATGCAAAACTCAGTTGTGGACAGTAGTTAGTAACTTAGTAATACATGAACATAAAGTAAATAAGTGTGACATCTAGGTGTTTTAAGGGGATTAGAGCATGGTGGAGAGTAGACAGTAGACTTGCAAAAATGCAAAATGAGGTGAGGGAGCAGAGGGACTCGAGCCATTGGATCAATATGTTGGTCACATTGACAGAAGCTTCCCACTTTTCAGTGTAAATGGACTTCTCATCACAAGCACCCATTCATGACATTATGTTGTGAATTGTGATATTTTAGGACTGTTCAATTCTGTGATGGTTCTCCTTGAAGAACTATTTCTGTAGCACATCATACAACATGCTACAATGTAATACAGTATTAACCTTTTCGGTTCTTTCAATTCTAGTACAGGTCAAAATTACCTTTGGTATGGGATGAGAAATCTCAGAACCACCCAAAACCTTTGGAATGGATGTTAAAATAATACAATCATTATATATAATCAAAAAAGTGCAAAATACAGCACATCACTAGAAAGCCACACGAAGTCTGCATTTTGAAGGCATAAGCAATCATATTTAGTCTACCATGCACTACTAGTCTACTACTAATTAATGTCTATACACACAAAAACACTATTAAACAGCAGATGAGAGATTAAACAGCAATGGATTGTCCTCAGCCACCCGCATTAACATCGTTCAAAAATTCTGTAAAGCTTCTCAAGTGAAGTAACCTAAAAAACAACACAAAGTGTGACATTGTGACAAGACAAGAAAATAAAATATTATGTAAAGTTTGAAGATTCTCTTACTACTACTTGCCATCTTCCAATAGGAAAAAAATTAGGAAAACATTATCTACCCGCCTAGGTGCTATGCTCCCCTTGGACTAACATCTTTTAACAATTTGACCACACCTAAAACCCCGCCTATGTGATATGATTAACAACACACAAGCCTCATTTGATCATAGGCCTCATAGTGCCTCTCAACTAACACCTAGCATTTTTCATGACACGTCTGCATGCATAAAAGAGCTTCATTTGGATAACTTACGGTGTAAATACATTTATCATAAGTGTTTTTAGTTTTACTAATCCATTGTTTCCTTAAATTAGTAACAAGGTGCATTTACATAGCTATTTTATTCATTTTTCCTGCCAAAAGCTTCTTTTTTGAAGTAAATGTACTCTTTTTCTTCTAAAAAGCACTTACTATTTGAAAATAAGTCATCCTAAACGCACTCTAAAGTATCCAAAGTACAATATACTTTAGTGTGAAGATTATAACGTTAAAATATACGGCTATACGCTATACGTAGAAATATACGGCTATACACTAAGAGTTAATGACAACCACAAAAATGATAGTTCACAGTAAGCTAAACCTTTTTCTTGAGCTTGTATCCGGTAATAAAAGCATGGAGATGGTAAACACCAGAATAAATGCCAGAATATAAACAATAAAAAATAAAAAAGATAATACTACTCTGCATTAAATAAAAGCATACCTTTATAAAAGTTCCATTTGTGGCCATTGAATTTGGGGGCTTGAAGAAGAGTCTGAGGGATGGAAACAAAACATGCTGAATCGACCATTCTCGCTGCGCCCATGCGTTTTCAGCCATTGAAAGTAAACCATTATCATATACATCCTTCATGTTATCCTCTGAAGATTAAATAGCAAGCAAAGCAATTTTCAGCTCCTACCTTGGGGGTGGGGGTGGGTGATTAGGTTTTTTTTGGAGACACAATGATTGCTCAATAAAATAATTTGACCAGAACTCGACCTCCAGAAATATTCCAGTGGCTAAACGTCTTGCAAGCTATAATTTTCTGTATGGCATACCATGTGCTGAGGTTGGGTAGTGACCTCGGCAGGTGAATGCCACCCAATGGGCATGATATTCAGACGTTTTGCATTATACTACCCTAATCCAAAAACAATGACCTACTTCTGTACTTCACTATGTTACACCATTTCAATTTTAGTTATATTTTCAAATACCCATGTTTTAAAAAATACTACGTATATAATAAAAATCAACTTCTTTTGTTCAAACGTTACTCTTTTCCTTTTAGGGAAAAAATCAGCTTCAGAAATTTTTTGTGTGTGCTGGAGTAGCATGAAAGATGTCTTGCATTGGAATACTTCCACACTTTTTTTATGTATTCCATATCGAGTGCATTTCAGTTTCTTTGGAATTTTTCCAATGCAAGGGCACATGATATACCGGTAGAGTTGGGGGATTTTTCTTGTCCATTGATACTGCTTGAACTTGTCTTTTTTTTGTAGAATTGGAAGCCATCACCTGTGGGATTGGGTAACAAAGGAGTATGCATCGCATAGAAGTTGGCAAGAGCAGCAGATATTGATTGGAAGCAATCCTTTTCGTCCTCCCAGTGGATCTACCAAATACAATATTAAATTTTCGGGAATAAATATACATTACATATAAATGTGCATTCCGATACAAAATTTAGAGTACCGCGAGAGGGAATACTTCAAGGATAAAATGAAGACGGGTTGAGTATCTGTCAGGGAAAAAATTCTACTTTTGTTCTCACAATTATTAGGACATTTTCACTTTAACACATTGTTTTGTCTAGAAAAAAGAGAGAAGAGAGGAAGAAAGAAGAAAGAGATTGAAGAGAAAGAAAGAGATAAGAAAAACTGGGCAGGCAGACTATAGATATTACATGGTATGAAGTTATAAGGGAAAAAGAGAAGAAATGAGGAGAAATAAATACGCACATCTTCCTTATCTGGTTAGGCAGAAAGAACTAAACAAGAAAATGACGATATGCTTATTAGAAAAATATCCCCTAATAAAAAGAACATATGCATTAATGGAATGGAAAGAAATGGAATAATGCACAAAATTAACTATTCATTTTCTACCATTAATACAAAAGATCTTTAGAAGGTATGGGAGCACATTTCTCTATCTTATATCCTTAGCTTTTAGGCCAAACAAAACAAATGGCCAAACTATCTTATTTTTATCTCCATTTCCATTGCTTTTGCTTTCCACCGCTACCAAAACGATGTCACTTCACGACTTTCATTTTTCCACTTATGGCCACAACTACAAAGTTTTTGCCACTTTTGGTCTTTTCTGTTTAGGCAAAAATAAAAAAAAAACATGCCATATAAGTGATCGGAAGTTCAATTATTGCTATTGTTGTTGTTATTATTACTTTGCTATGAAGCAGCAACAAGTGGTCGGAAGTTCAAATATTGCTATTGTTGTTGTTGTTATTACTTTGCTATGAAGCAGCAATCCGTCCATGCAATTTCTGATTTTTATAATGGGTCATGTGGAAACAGTCTCTCTATTTAGTACAGCGGTAAGGCCGCGTACATCCGATCCCCCCTTACTACACCGTAGGTGGGGAGCCTTTGTGGCACTAGGGTACTGTTGTTGTATTATTATTTTGTTGTTATAATTAACATGCCAGTCTCCAACTTTTAGAGGGACTTCACAGACTTAACCCAGAAACAACTAACATGCTGCACTATTGGTTCAGGCACTAGGAATAGAATAAAAGAATTCAATATGAAGAAGAAGAATATAAAGTAGACCTACATCATTTCCCAAACAAAGCACAAACTCGGGGACACGGTCCATGTCAGGCGTGTACTGATCCAATATGACAGGAAGTCTGGACAAATTACCATTTGAATCAATATGGATGCTAAAATACTCATCCAGCAATTCAGATTTTTGTTCAAGAAGATCTATATTCATCTGAAAACAAGAAAAGGAAGTCTTTAAGTAAAAACTGCATTATAGATTCATAAGAAAGCTCATTCAACAAATGAATGAGGGTAAAAATTGAAATATTTCAAACATTCAAATCCTTAATGTGCCCACATCACCAAAAATGTTAATAATCTGTGTGGATCCATGTGAGTTTCATGGGACCACATGAGTCTATTTCCCGCTTTTAAACAGGAAAGAAGTTCAGTACTTTTTAAAATTCTATTTCTTATGCTCTGAGGAGAAAGTATAAAGTATTAAGATGAAAGTTACATCAGCAATCTTTTCTTTCAGATCATCATCTCCATTACTTTCGCTAGCCACGTCTTCTTCTCTAAGAGCAAGCATTAGCAACTCATGTAATGGGGCAGGCTCACTTAGTTGAATGGCATTAAAATGGGCAAACCGCCGCAAAGCTTGTTGGTACATGAGCTCTTTGCTGTGAACCATCAAATTAAAGGAAATAATTTCAAGAAATTTTGTGTGCAAGTCCGAAGGAACAAAAAATGCAATGAAAAACTCAAACTGATAATACTAATGTGTTATAAATATCAAAAGTTCACAAGAAAGAAATTTTGGCTTTTATTTATGCAGTCCATTTTAAACTTGAAAAATAAGGAGGAAAACCAAGAAGAAAACTGGAACCAAAGAAAAATTGGAAGAATAATAGATAAGCTCAAACATAATAAATTTGTTTGACTCAAACTTATTTAAAATTAAAATAGTTTAAATATTTGTTCAAACTCACTTTCCTTATCTTTTTTAATTATATAGACTATACGGTCTAATATATGGATAAAGAGAAAGTTAATCATAATTCGTTGGTCTTTGCATGGTAAAACAAAACATAAGAAAAAATGAATTTCCTTGGTATTTTTTCTTTTCCCTGGCAATTCTGGGATGCAATCGTACCATAGATGACTAGAGTATTCCCCCAAACAAATCGTACCATATATAACCCATCTATGGTGCATGTTAACACATTCTGTCAAGTGTGTGGGCTGAAGTATCAATTTTTAGCTTGAAATTGATGCACAGTTGGCACCAATGTAAATACAGTACTTTTCATTTTTAGTGCCTCTTTATTTAGCTACTATAGTGCTTTATTCTTTTTCTCAGTACCTCTCATCTTTTAACACGTTTAGCTCTTCAGCATTTGCTATTTTATTGTCTCGAGCTGGTTATCCTTCAACTCGATTAAGTTGAAGAGCGGATATTCCAAATGTCAGAGCAGAATTATCCATAGCGGATTATGGTGCAAAGCCGAAACACTGCTATATAATTATAGTAGATAGTGTTGTGGTATCCAGAGGAAGCTTACCAATTGGGTAAAATGAATTACATATAAAAAATTGTATTTAAATCTCACACCATGTGCAAGCAGTACAATAATAACATAGATTTTAGTAATATTAAAATCGTTAGAAACTTAAAACCAAACTTAGAATTATAGCACAAAACTAGTAACAACCAACATTCAAAGTTATCTTTAATGTATATCTCAATAAACTAAGTAATGAGCCAATACAGCTGCCAAGTTTCAAATTTAAGAGCTTCTAGTAGTCTTCTTTAATCCCAACATAATCTTCTTCGAATCCTATGTTATCAATTGAAGCATACACATCTTCCTCTTCTCCTTCAAACTTATCAAAGTCAAACAGGGTCTCTAAATCATCTCGAGGCACCTTGTTAGTCCTCATATTCCAATTCTTCAACATCTTCATATTGGTCTTGAACCACTTCCTCTTACCCTAAGAAGTTGTGTAAGAAAAAACACCACCTTTTTTCCCTAGTTTTGCTCCTAGTATATGTTCTAGGCTCTCCTACATCTGAAGCCTCAGAAACAGACAGAACTTGTAGAAATCTTAATGGTGAAATTGACTTGCGATGCAATGAGTGGCTAGTTCAAGGGATGGAATGTAATGGTGATGATGATATTGGGAGCGATTAGGATTTTGACAATGATAGCACTTCAAACTCTGCTTATGAGGCTTTATGTATTAGAGGGCCTAAAACATATATAACAAACCTATGAAAAACAAAAAAGCATCGGGTAGTGATTCTTTTTCAAAACCTTCTCAGAAAGGTCAATAGGTTTCATTGGCCAAAAATTCAACGTCAACTCATCAAGAGGTAAATAGAAAATGTTCAAGACCAAAATGAAGATGGAGTAGAATTGGAGTTTTACGGGCATAGTTAGGAGTCTTAAGACGATTTAGCTATTAAACAACTTATCAATCAATCTATTAAGACTATGGCTATGTTTGGCACAACTAGCCGAAAAATACTTTTTGAGCTTTTTAGTAACGGTAGCTTTTAGTAACTGAATAGATCTTAGAGGAAAAAGGTGGTAGTTGTTTAATAAAAAACTGACTGCTTGATTTAGTTATGTCTCGTATACAAGCTTTTCTAGCTAATTAATGCTAAAAGCTACAAACTTTTCTCAGATGCCACTCAGTGTAGCTTCTCAAAAGACATCTTATTTTGAAAAAAGCTTTTAAAAAGTGTTGTGGCAAACATACAACAAGAAGCTTCTATAGACTTCTTAAATAGTACAAAAGCTAGAAGTTACAGACTTATGCCCACCAAACATGCACTATGTATAAGACTTATTACACAGATTATTGACTTTTTTTTCCGTTTAACAACATTCAGTTTGGGTGGTTTACTAATTTTGTGCTACGATTTGAAGTTTGTACAAACTTCAAATTTACTAGAAATTTATCTAGTCCACTACATTCCACCATTTGCCACAATGCAATCTGTCATATTTTATGGTGCTTCTTTGGTTATCCACTATCAACAGCAGTAGTTCCATACAAAGTAAAGTTAATAGCCATATATGCATTTATTGTTTTGTGCACCGCTTTGTGTTTAGTCCAAAATAGTGCGTTGATGATCCCAGTGCAGAAGTTCAAACTCAAAATATTATTCTACTGGTACAAAGCAAACTCAAAGGGTGTGTTCTCACTTGATTAAAAGCTTAAAGTAGTAATTAGAATATACATTATCTCATTTTACTTCATAGCAAAAAAGATATACTTGTATGTGTTTTCCTTCAACTAAAAGCTTGAATGAGTACTCCAAGAACAATATTGTTAGACATATTACTTCAAAGTTCAAACTCTACAACTCTCCTCACATGTGTAGACCGACTTGCATCAATCACACATCCCATCAACCCTAATACACACTCTCCCCTTCCCTAATGTATATCATTAACCACATTGGCGGAGCCAGAAATGTTGTATTGGGGGGGCAGGCCTTGAAAAAATTAGACTGCAGGGGCCAAAAGTTCATATCAAAACATATCATTCCATTATTGTTTATAAATTGTCCATACACACACACACACTACACAATTTGTTCTAGGGGGCTGAGGTCTCCACCAAGGTTTTCCCAAATTGTTTTCCACTTTTTCCTTACAACTGCAAAAATACCATGTAACATTCACGCCTGCAAAACTCTCATGTGTATTATGTAAAAGACATTTTATTTTCTATTTCCCATTCCCCTTCTGCTTTTCTTTGCATGCCAGATCCCCAACACTGCACTTTTATGTTTCTTTTAACAGCTGAGTTAAGAGTTAGGACCTACTATGTGGACTTATTTCAGTCCAAGGCCAGACTTGAAATGACCCCACCAAAAGAGCCATAAAGAATACTAAAACAAACATAATATTGAACTACAAACATCATACCAAACCAGACTTAAACAAACCAGATCAGACCAGTTTAAACTAGATCATACAATTCCAATCCAAATAGGTTCTCAAGAGCTAATTTAAACCATCTACTATACACGCATTATTATTCAGTTTGGTTCTTACCTATTTTAAGAATCAATTTTGTATGCATAAATATCGCTATCCAAATAAGAAGTGTATCTTTGCCTGTTCACTAAATTTAGGCTCATTTTATGACTCAATTTGGTCCTCATTTGGGTGATCCAGACTAAATTGAAGACTAAATTTAGTCTTCAAAAAGAAAGTTGATGAACAAATTGAGTAATAACATATAGTTAAAGGACTAAATCATGTATTTACTCTTAACCTTAGAAGGATAAGAATGCAATAAAAGGCTTCAGAATTAGTTCTCATACTTGTGTGATTACAAATGCTTTTTAAAGTTAATTAACTAAAAGAATTAAAGAACTTACCTTTTTTTCATCATTTGCAATGGAGCCAAAGATTCATTATGTTTTGGCTTGAGAATATGATGGAATAAAGCAAAATGGCTCACTAAACTGTCTGCGCTTCTTTGTTATGAAGCAGCAGTCAGTCCATGCAATTTTGGGCTCGATTTTCACTATGGGTCATCCGGAAACAGTCTCTCAGTGCTTTAGTACAGGGGTAAGACTGTGTACATCCGACCCCCCTTACCCCACCGTAGGTGGGAGCCTTTGCGGCAACTGGGGTAAATGAAAATGATGAATTAAAGAACTTACCTCAGGTTAACTACATTGGCAAGATAAAGGTGAGTTTGGTGTTGAAGTAAAGCAAAAACATCATCAGCCATTCCAATGTATGTGCAGTGCCTCACAATGTCCAATAAACCTATGAGTTTTTAATTGGTTAAAAACAAAAAGCAGATTTGATCATTGTATAGTGCAATATACAAACACATACCGGAATGACAGGTAGATTCGATCTCATTGATGAGCTCTTGAATGCTAGTAAGGTCAGCAGTCTCTTTAGGGTTTCTCCTTTGTCTAATAGAAGACCTAAAGCACCAGTTCATTACATGAAAATACAGCAGTGCTAAGATCAATGAATGAAAACTGTTTAGCATAATCAAAACCCTATATTCTACTCTTTGTATACAAGTGCCTGTTTAAATTATAATTTCATGTATTATGTCAAGTTGAAATATGAATGAGCGCGCACATGTGCACAAAAGATGAATTCTACCTCACAGAGGTCAAGCAAGTACTTTTTTCTGGATTATTAGAAGGTGCAATTTGCAGGTATGCATCCAGCCTTCCAGCAGGATCCAGTGTATCTGTCCTTACCATTTTATGTACAGGAGTTTTTTGTGATTTTATCTCTGTAAAATGAAGAGCAACAAATAGCATTATTAATAAATAATGCATAGAATCTTAAAAGGCAAAAGATATCTACAGTTTTACACATCATAACATGTTACATTTGCTCATCCACTATTCCACTATACCAGATCTGGATGAATCTTTTTGTGAATCTTTCCTGGTTGCCAATGTGCTGGGTGAAGAAGGATGAACTGCCTGTAGAACTCACAAATTTAGAAAAAGAACAAGTGAGTTGTGGAGTCATAATGAAGCATGTGAGCCTTTAAGAGGGTTTTTGAAATTAATTCTGCGTCTGCATCTTTTTTAAATGCGGAAGCAAAATGAGAATTTTCTGCTGTGTGAAAAAGTGATTCTGCACTTTTACCCAAACACTTCAATATCTGCTTCTGTTCCTTAAAGATTAGAAGCTGTTTTAAGAATTAGATTCAAACACCCCCTAAATGAGTTACGACTTAATTGAAAACAAGACTTACTCATTTAGTCAAAAATTGACTTAAACATACGTTGTGATATAATAGGACCCCCTTCCTATTAAGAAGGTTATTATTAAGACGCCAAATTAGCCAGTTTTTTACACCCATTATAGAATAGATATGTGTGTGTATTAATAAGTGACACTACACATTGTTAAGATAACCCAAACTAACATTATACTACCTCCGTCCCTTTTATATTGGGATGGAAGTGGATGGCACGATTATTAAGAAAAGTGGGTTTGTGTGGTTGATATTAATTGATAAAGTAAGAATAAAGTAAGATTGATTTAGAGCCACACAAACTTTACCAAATATGGTATGGGACAATTTTAGTGGGATTTCCCGAAAAGGTAAAACGGGACAATATAAGGGGGACGGAGAGAGTATTAATTATTTCAGACAATTCAGACTATTCATTTAGCACACAAAATAAATACGCTCATCTAAAAATTGTACTTAAATCGAGACAGACAGCCAGACACGCATCTCAACTCATACACGGCTTAATAGACAAACAGGTAAACAGCCCCTTAGAATGCCCTAATGCTTACCAAAAAAGTTATGTTGGCTTTGAATGAAACCCTTGGTCGGATCCGCACGTACCTCTGATGCGGTGTGGAAAACTCTGGAGCAACTTTACGGGACCCGTTCAGCAGCTCAAATCAGGAATATGAAGGATGTCTTCCGCCACACTCGTCAGGGATCCAAAGCAGTAGGCGAGTATCTCCATCATCTCCGTACGCTCGCCGACGAATTAGCTAAGGCTGGCCGCCCCGTCGATGACGACGACTTCGTCCTTCAAGCCATGGAGGGACTCCGGCCAGAGTTTGACTCCTTTACCAACTCTATTCGAACCTGTGGAGATAACAGCTTCAGCAACATCTATACTCTCCTCACTGGGTTCGAAGCAACTCTGAAACGGAAGGAAGCTCTCGACCCGTCTGTAGCGGTGGTTACCGCTAATACCGCAAGAGTCGCAGAAGATTCGCCTCGTCAAGTACTAAGTGGGGAGTCGGTCGCCTTCGCTGCTCGCAGAGGACCAGGCCCGTCTCACACCTCTTCAATATTGGGCCCTGGCCCATCTGCTCAAGGTTACCCCCAGTCCAGTCGCCAGAATTATCCAGCCCGGAATAATACTGGGAGTCAGCCCAGAAATCAGCTCCCTCCTGCTTCTTATAACTCCAACCGACGTGGACAGAATACTTTTCGGGGTCCCACCAACAATCCGACAGCCCGAAACACCCCTGGGAATGGTAATTTCGGGGCAAATCTTGTGTGTCAAATTTGTGGCAAACCGAATCATTCTGCTCTCAATTGTTGGCATCGATTTGAACAACAGACGTATCCTCCCCAAGTCAACACGGCTATCACTAATCACAATGGTTGGTTACTTGATTCTGGAGCAACCAATCATGTCACCAACAACCTGAATAATCTTACCTTGGCATCCGATTATACTGGCACTGACTCTCTCGTTATTGGGAACGGTAAAGGTCTTGCGATAGCACAAGTTGGGCATATGACCCTTCACTCTCTTTCTCTACCTAATACCCTTTTTGTACCTTCTATTCATACCAATTTAATTTCTGTCGCCAAATTATGTCGTGATAATGACGTACTAATTGAATTTCATTCTTCCTTTTGTCTTGTTAAGGACCGGCGAACAGGAGCAATTTTGTTACGGGGTATGAATAAAGGAGATGTTTACAGCTTGCCAGACGCCCCCCCTCCACCATCTCCATCTGCCCACATCACACAAAAATATTCCCTTAATAAATGGCATTGTCGTTTAGGACATCCTGCCCTCCCTATCACTAAAAAAATCTTATCTTCCTTAGGTATTTCTTTTACCGATATTACTCCAAATAATTCTCTATGTGTCTCGTGTGCTAGTAATAAAAGTCATAAGCTACCATTTGCAAAATCATCTCTTTCGAGCTTTGGGCCTCTAGATTTAATATATACAGATGTTTGGGGTCCCGCTCGTGTTAATTCTGTTGATGGCTTTCGTTACTATGTTATCTTTGTTGATCATTATACCAAATATATTTGGTTTTATCCCATGACTCATAAGAGTGAGGTGACTCCACTCTTTCAACAATTTAAAAAGATTGTTGAAAACTTTTTTCAACGCACCATTAAAACAGTTTATTCTGATGGGGGAGGAGAATACATCACCTTAGGGAAATTCCTAAGCACATGTGGTATTTCTCATTTATTTACGCCTCCCTACACTCCAGAACACAATGGCTTTGCTGAACGTCGGCATCGACACATTGTGGAAACTGGCATCACTCTTCTTCACCATGCATCCATGCCTCTTAAATATTGGTCCTATGCTTTTCTTACAGCGGTTTATCTCATTAATAGGCAGCCTGCTCTCTCTCTTAACTTTTGCACTCCTTACGAAAAACTCTTCCAACAAACCCCTAATTATTCTAAACTTGCTATTTTTGGGTGCCAATGTTTTCCTTGGTTACGTCCGTATACCACTCATAAATTAGAACCACGATCTAAACCGTGTGTTTTCCTGGGGTATTGTGACCAACAAAGCGCTTATCGTTGTCTTGATCTTACAACCAGTCGTATCTTTATCAGCGGGCATGTTGTGTTTGATGAGTCAGTCTTCCCTTTCTCTACATCTTCATCACCCGTCTCAAATATTTCTTCTGAAGTTGATCACTGGCTTCAACCCTCTATGTCTTACCTTCCCATTTCAGATACTCTGGCTGCGGGGGCGTCTCCACCTACTCATACCTCATCTCAACAATTGGCTCCTGACACGTCACCCACTATCTCCACCCAAACTGAACCCACCCCTCCTAAACTCACACCACCACAAATTATTACTTACCAACGCCGAACCAAACCCAATCCTCCTATCCCCACTCCTCATCTACCCACCACCACTGATCCCACTACCTCAAACCCACCCCTTGATACTCCACCACCCAAACGTACCCATCCGATGACCCTTCGACCCCGTAAGCAAGCCAATATTGCTACTAATGCTCCTTTACCTCACCATATAATTCCCACTTGTGCTTCTCAAGCTATGCAGGTCCCAGAATGGCGGAGTGCTATGACAGTAGAATTTGATGCCTTGGTTCGACAAGGCACTTGGGATCTTGTTCCGGCTCAGCCTGGTCAGAATGTTGTGGGTTGTAAATGGGTCTATACTGTGAAGTATAAATCGGATGGCTCTTTGGATCGCTATAAGGCTCGGTTAGTGGCTAAGGGCTTTCACCAACGCCCTGGGGTTGATTATTCTGACACGTTTAGCCCGGTCATCAAACCGGTCACTATTCGCATTGTCTTGACTATTGCTCTTTCCCATAGTTGGCCGATACATCAGTTAGATGTCAATAACGCATTTCTACATGGAAATCTTCAGGAGGAAGTTTACATGAAACAACCTCCTGGCTTTAATGATGGTTCTGGGTTTGTTTGCCGTCTGCGGAAATCTATTTATGGCCTTAAGCAGGCGCCTCGGGTGTGGTATCAATCTCTTAGTGGATTTCTTCTATCACTTGGGTTTTATCAATCTGTTGCTGATGCCAGTCTGTTCGTCTTTTCCTCCCATCCATCTTACATCTATGTATTGGTTTATGTGGATGACATCATTGTTACTGGCTCTACACCAGCATTGATACGTCAGACTATTGACTCATTGGCCCGCCAGTTCTCTATCAAGGATTTAGGGGCCTTACACTATTTTTTGGGCATGCAGGTTACTCCTACACAGAATGGACTCTTTCTTGATCAACATAAATACATTATGGATTTGTTGAAAATAGTGAAAATGGATGAGGCTAATCCTGTGGCTACGCCATTAGCTTCCTCTGCTTCATTAACTCTGTTTGACAGTTCAGGCTCCTGTGATACCACTCTCTATCGCCAGGTCCTTGGGTCACTTCAATATTTGAATCTTACCCGCCCCGACGTCGCCTTTGCTATTAATAAACTGGCTCAATTCATGCATAAACCTACGAATAATCATTGGCAGCTTCTCAAACGTCTTTTGCGCTATCTACAGGGCACATCCTCTCATGGTCTCCTTCTTTGTCGAAGCACATCCCCCTCTCTTCGTGCTTTTGCCGATGCTGACTGGGCAGGGAATCCTGATGATCGTTCCTCCACCAGCGCATATGCCATTTTTCTTGGGGAGTCCCTTATATCTTGGAAGTCAGTCAAGCAGCGCACTATTGCTAAGTCTTCCACGGAAGCTGAATACCGAGCTCTTTCCACCGCTGCCTCTGAAATTATTTGGATTGAATCTCTTCTGCGGGAGTTACAGCACCCGCTCCTTTCTCCTCCACTCCTCCTTTGTGATAACAAAGGTGCTACCACATCTTCCGCAAATCCTGTCTTTCACTCTCGCATGAAACATGTGGCTATTGACTTTCATTTTGTTCGCCAGCGGGTTCAACGAGGACTTCTACAGGTTCATCATATCCCATCTTCTGATCAGATAGCTGATGCCCTCACCAAACCGCTTCCCCGACAACGCTTCGTCCTTCTTAGAGACAAGCTCAGGATTCTTGGCAGTGACAGAATACCTGGCTTGCGGGGGCGTATTGAAGGAAAGAGCTGATTTCCAGAATATTGTATTTAGCCGTTAGAATCCTTGTCATTTAATGTGTATTATTATTTACCTTATATACATGATTAGGATGTGTATAAATTGCAGCCTTGTAAACCAGTTTTATACACACTGAAAATATATTAAAAACATCCGTTTCTCTCCTTATCTATTAAACCATGGCATGGTAGTTCTAATGTAGAGAACAAAAGTAATAGTACATTCAAGATCATGGATCCAGATCAATACACTTAAGACTACCTGCTCTTGAAATGTCCTGGACTCGTTACAACTTCTCAGGTTGAGTTCTACCACAGATTGTATCTTCTCTAGAATAACCTCTTGGTTCAATAGGCTAACCTGTGCATTAAACATTTAACATGTAAATGTGACAATAACCACCTCTAATCTGTAACATGCTCAATTTGTAAACATAAAATAGTAGCAATTACAATTTGTGAAAGAAAATTGGCAGAAGCTTCAATTTCCCTGTAGATTCCAAACTTTACTGCTTGTTAACCATTTTGTTCCTTTTCTCCTGATATTTGCACATAATTCATTCAAAAAATGAATGAAACGGTTCAGTGTATATGCTAACTTTTTTCCTCTTCTAAAGTTGTTTTAAATTACCAAAGTGAACGCCCGTATATAGCATAAATGTCTGCTGATGCAATGTAAACATTATCTCAGTTGGCATCGCGTGCGGATTTCCTAAAGCAATTTCAATTAGCTTTATCATCAACATCGCCTGAACTTGAACTGGCTGTTTCCATGACATTAAGTTTATAGTGTCAACTAATATATTTAACATTATAAAGCAAAAAAAGTGCTCTTGAAGGAGTTGTCACTTCATGCCGCAACCTTCTTGTGAATGAATAATATCATATGTTAGGGGGTGTTAGGAACTGATTCTGCTTCAGCTTCTTTTTTAAAGCAGAAGCAGAATCAAAATCAGTTTTCAGAAGCTGGTCTCCCCCAGCTTCTAAAAAAACTGATTCTAGGAGTAAATTAGAGCACCATAATCACTTCTGCACTTTCACCCAAACACTCCAACTTCTGCTACTGCACCATAATCACTTCTGCACCATATCGTTTTAAGAATCAGATCCAAACACCCCCTTAGTTTTACTTCCATGCAGAATACCATGAAGCGGTGATGACTTAAGATATTTGTCAGTCATGTTCCATTACAAGATTGACATTGTAAACCAACAAGAAAAACATGATCAAAAATACTGCCAAAATATTTAAAGAATTTGCCCTAAATGGAACTAAAACATTAATAAAATTCATAAGTAGGACCACAAGTTTATTTTTCCCTAAGATAGGACTCCAAATTATATTTTTTCCCTTCCTAGAATTAAACCCATCGATCGCAGACATCTATCGTCCTCTCTCCCTCTTCATCGACAGTAACCGGACCGTAGCCGCACCCCTACCCCTCCGCCATCGACAGTAGCCGCACCGCTGTTCTACAACTTCTCCGGTGAAGCCAGGTAAGTTTCTTCTGCTTCTCCTTCTCTTTCTTCTCCTTCTTCCTCTTCTCCTCTCATCCTTTTCTTGTCCTCTGCTTGCTTTCCGTTTCTTTATTTTCTATCAAATCAAAAATTGGATTTGAAATTCCATCCTCTCCTTGACCTCTGTTTGATTTCCGTTTCTTTATTTTCTATCAAATGAAGATTTGGATTTAAAAAATTTAGACGAGGACTACATTTCAAAGAACAATTGATTGGAATTTTTGAATTTCAATTTTTATTTATTTATTATCAATTTTGATTATGACAATGTCTCAATTACTGATTATATAAAAATGCCACTTCTAAAATCTGAGGATGCCATAATTATTTGTTAATTTACAAGAATGTCACTTTTATGGCATTACATTGGACATGTCTGCCAAATGGTGTCATTTTTATGAAGACTAAATGAACAAAAGGCAAAAAAAAAATTGACTTTTCATTTTTCATTTTTCTCTCATACCGTAGATTTTTAATTTTAATCTGATGATTATGTAATTTCCTATGAAAATGGAAATATGGGAATGCATTTATTTTTTGACATTTGAAAATGCCATTTTTCTATATGAAAATGGCATGGTTATGTCATTATTCATATTTAGTGGCATTCTTGCAGGAGGTCTGCAAGGACTTGTCAGACTTGTTGGGGAGCGGCGGATTCGTCAGAGGATGGTGGCAGCGAACTTGCCGAAGGGCGGCCGCTGCGACAAACTTACTGGAGGATGGATAGTGTGTGCACTTATCGCATAGCACTTCAATTGAGAAGTCCTGGACATCGGCACTTGCTGGCTGGGAAAAGTTCTAAGTTTTCTCATTAAGGGTTATTTTGTCTTGTTGGTGTATTTTTAGTCCTATAAAACATTTAAGTCCTATTATTGCATTTCTACTGTTTTAGTCCTATTTAAGGAATTCTCTCAAATATTTAAGCTTGATAATAGAAATGCAAGTAAAAGATAAAAGTTACAAGTCAAATACTAAAGGATGCACTATTGAAAAGAAACAAAAGGAAAGGCAGAAAGTAAAAAGTAAAAATGCAGAAAATGTGAAAGTGTGGAAGACCAGGGTGGAAAGGAAAATAACAAAATGGAGGAGGGGGGAGCAAACTGATCTTCCATAACAACGATGCTAACTCGCTATGACCTTCTCTTGAATGTCAAATCAAGAAAACTAAGAGCATAATTACCAATACCTCTCTTTTTGTGGGGTGTACATTCACATCAACATGCTCTGATGGCAGAGTGATTGATATATACACGAATGGTTTTGATGCTTTGGGCAATGTTGCGGAATAGACTATTTCAATTGCCCTCTTGAGAGCACCACATTCGACCAGCCTGTCTGGGAAAGGAAAATAACAAATGAATGATAACATGTGAAATCCTGAAGACAACACACAAACCTTTTGGCAAAAAACGTCCACAGGTGTTTACCTCAATAAGAGTTAAAATAGCAGAGTAAAATTGACGTAGAATGCTAAGTATGTGAATAGGAGTATCTGATGATGATAGTAAATCATGAAGTTGCACAAGGTGATTATTTCTAAGACCAATTTGAATGGGCCTATCTACTAAAAAATGAACTCTGGTGATCGTTAACATGATAGTAAAGCAAAATAAAAGTCAGATCCCAGTAATCCAACAATCACAGAAGACAAAACAGAATAGATGAGAACGAGACGAAGAATCAAAGTATTGAATACCAAACTGATGTTCATTGATAAAGAAAAGTGTATTCAATACAAGCAGCGGCTCTTACTTCTCTCTAAATATGTAAATGCCTATTACACGATTGTTACGATTCTTGGGGTTACGGAACTCAACCTCCAGACTTTTTATATGTATGAAAGTTGAGCCCGCTTACATTTGACGCACAAACTAAACAAATGGGCCTTAACATAAAGCTGGCCTGTTCTAATTAACTATTATAGAGATAATTAATATGGTTGGACACAATTAAATTATTCCTACAATCTCCTCTCTTGTGTCCAATCATGGCTAATCTGAATTGGAGTGCGGGTATCTTTGTCTTTGTGTTTGATCTGCGATCTAGAGAAGAGAGTAGATGAGATTCATTGAGTTAATCTTCTTGTGTCTTGTTCTTTAGAGCAGCTTGGGGTAAGTTGTCTTCTTTTTAAATTCCTAACAATCTCCCGTTTTGTAAGCATTTGAAGAAGTCTAATGGTACCTCTAGAATGAATGTTCTTGAAGAGTTTGAGGCGCACACGGGATTCATCTTCAATATTTGATTGTCCGACCTTTGTATCCTCCAGAATATAATCATTTTGGTTGTTTGATGTGAAAGACCTTGAAAGGAACACATGTCATTGGTGGCATAGCGGAAAATGGTGGCGATTTGAGGATATGCTTGAAGCTCCTTCAGCATTCACTTGGAGTTGTAGAGAGTTGTCACTATTTCAGTAGGAGGAGAGAAGTGGCCGAGTGATTTTTGAATGTCTAGAAGCATGTGGACCACTCTCCCCCTCATGTCAATCCAATGTGTTGAGATGTCATGCCTTTGTTCGCTTTTATTTTGGCTAGCATAACAAAAACTAAAAACAACAAAAAATAGTAAAAATCCAGAGACACCATGGTGTTATGTTAACACATCATCAATGAAAAACACTAATGTGTGGTCTGCATATAATGATAAAAGCGTTACAGCTCTAGCAAGATCCGGCCAATCCTCGTGAATCATCTAAAGTACATGTCACTCCGATCGTTGTTGCATGATCACAAGGATAAGGGGAGAAAAATGTAACCCCGGGGTCATGTAAACGCCCGTTAGCATCGCGGAAGAGGTAAACTCCAAAGGATGGCCTCAACATGTTGGTGATAAAGATATTGCAACGTCAGGACTTCCTTCCAATCATGGTCTACAATCATAATAATTGAGCCTATGGAAGTTCACGCATGTCACATGGACCAACAACTGACTCTAAAGAGTGTTTGTCCTAGATAATTCAAAACATTTGGGAATGGGGTAACTAGAGACGACGTGATTAATGAAAGTTCAGTAGTGTGTGATTGTGAACCACTGTAGTCAATATCATTCGCCTCAAAAGGAGACAGGTGATAGAAGATTAGGTTCCCCATGATTATGTTTTGTTGCTCTTTTGTGCCTTCTGCTTCCTTTCTCTCACAATGTTCATTTACTCACTCTTGGCTTTGTTCCGTGGGTAGGCTCAGTTGTCTCTCATTGATCTTCACTCAACATATTGCATTTGTCATTGTTTTGGCGCCAAGAAGGAAAAAATTTGAAACTCCTCTCAAAATGTGCATCTTTGAGTTGTCTTGTATTGATCTGGATAAAAAAGATATGTTCCTCTTCATAATTTCCAAGGAGAAAACTCCCCCTTGAAGTGTGTTTTTCGTTGCTTGGAACCAGGAGGAGTGAAAAAGAAACACTCCCTCTCAGAATGTGCATTTGTTGTTTGAAGTGTTTTGGCAAACAAATTTTGAAAACCTTGTTTTATTTTTGTTCTTAAATTAGTCTCCTTTGAACCTTTTGAAGAGCTATATGATTGGAATTCTGAATTAGGACCTCATTTTTTAGTTATGGCATTTTTTAGTTATGGCAGGGTGGGAGAATTTTTCAGCATAGGTGAATGATGGTACAGATTTTCGAGAAGTAAAGATATTTTTCTTAGATAACTGTTTCAAATGTTTGGCTTAATAAACCTTGAGGGTATATTTCAGACAAACATCGTCATAAAAAGTATAGGTTGAAAATTTAAATCTCTTCTATTTAGATTTGTCATCATTCACATCACAATAATGATTAGGAGCATTAGCCTTTTGATGTAGCTTTTCAAGTTTGCAAAGTTTAGCATCGAAATGAGAAATCACAAAACCAAATTCATCAGAAAAAGACTAAGAAGAATGGTGTGGGACAGAGCTAAACGACTGAAAGCTTGATGAACTTGAACTTTCTTTAAAATTACTCTTTAAAACAGGAGAGGGGGTGGAGATTGTGTCTGTACTAGAGGGTTTTTTTGCGAATAGAAATCTCATTTAAAAGTTGTTCTTTTTCTAATTTGAAAACCTCTCTTTTAGTTTCCAATATTTGTGCAAGTCCACAATTTTGCAAGTGATCATTGGAATGTAAACATTATTAGTTTTGGGTTTTTCAGAAACAGATTTTTCTTCCTCATAGATTCAGACTCACTTGTTGAAGGAAAAAATGATACATAGTCATCAGACATAAGAACTTCTCTTGTCTTATAAGGGGCATTCAGTTTGGTGTAGTCAAACACAAATGCATAAAACTTCAATCGATCACACGTACAACTGTAATACCAAATGTCAGATCCCAGTAATCCAACAATCACGGAAGATAAAACAAAATAGATGAGAATGAGAGGAAGAACTGAAGTATTGAATACCAAGATGATGTTTCGCTTATAAAAAACAGTGTATTCAATACCAGCAGCCACTCTTCTCTCTGAATTTGTGATTGCTGATTACACGATTGTTAGGATTCTTAGGGTTACGAGACTCAATCACCAGACTTTTTATATGTCTGAGAGTTGAGCCCACTTACGTTTAGGGTACAAACTAAAGAAATGGGCCTTAACATAAAGCTAGCCCCTTCTAATTAACCATTACATATTCAACACAAATACAAAGATAATTAATGTGATTGGATACAATTAAATTATCCCTAACAAAAAGGATGTTATGCTATTTTATTAGTTTTTGAGCTTATCTGCAGGGGCAAAACAAATTTTTGAAACTTGGTTTAGGCATAATGATTAACGCATGTACCTACAAATGTTTGTTCAAGCTTTTTATTCAAGCAGTTCTGGGTTACATTATGTTGGGAAAAAAGATAATGTGTTGTATTGGCATGGAAGTCAAAATACCCATATTAGACTGTCCATATGCACATTAAATGGTGGCATCTAACAGTTACAAATATATTTAGAGTATTCAAATAAGCTTATAGGATCAGAAGTCAGAACAAAAGCGCATACCGTTGATGAAAAGCACCATAGTTATCTTCTTTGCAACGTAATTAGCATTGGAGATTAAACCATCCATTTCAAAAACTGAACTTGATGGATCGTTGTCAGAAACACTAATTTTTATTAAATTTCGTGAAACTGACACACCATAAACTGAATTTATTGCATCAAGCCTTGTGGGTGTTGCATTTGAGTGAACATCAGCTCTAGCAGCTCCATGCTTAAAAAAAATTAAAATGTACAATCAAGCTTAGATAGTTGAGAACAAGATGAGATCAAGTAAAATTTAAGGATAGCCATAATAAATTAATAATTACCAAAAAGGTAAACGCTAACCTTTCTACACGAGAAGCTCACGTTGCTGTGATGAATCGCAAACCTACTGATAAGATCCACAATTTTTGGATAATCATCTGCGGAGTTCTGAAGTGTTTTCCTCCGAGCAGCCATATTATAAAATAAATTTTCAATCTGAACATGAATAATAAAAAACATGTCAAAGAATGTTATTTATGTTTGCAATCCCACCGATGAACAATTCATAAAATGTTCTATCATCATTGATGGTTAAACATAGCTCAGTGTTAGCATTTGACGAAAAAATGTTCGTTTTCATGTATAACAGAACATACTAGCTCTTTAAATCTCTAATCAACAACACACTTATCCCAATGCCTAAAAGAACTATATTATGGTCGATAATCAATACAAAATCATACCATTATTTGAGTACCCTTTACAGCTGCACACGCTTTTGGCTCATCTTGCATCACACCATCTTTATAAGTTGCCCTGGAAGTAAACTAAAATACATAAGTAGATAAACATTACATACAACAAAAACTAATAGAAAAACCAACACTGCTATAGGAACTAAGTTTTTCTTGTGATCGACGAGAACAAGAGCCAGATAAATACAAAAGTTTTCGAAAATAATAGAAAAACATTCATTTGTGCACGTATCTACTGCTTTACAGAATAAATGTTTTGTAAAGCAGTAAAGAAAGACCATTGGTACCTGTATCCATGAAACTGACCCTTCGTAATGGTGGTCACTGTTACATGACCTACATAAGTCATGCTAGCCAAAGCCTCCCCCCGGAATCCCATAGACTTGATTGTTTGCAAATCCTCAAATTTACTCAACTTAGATGTTGTGTGCCTCTCGCATAATATTGGCAAATCCTCTTTCTATAGACAAACACCAAAGTGAATAAAATTAAAAATAAATGATAAAAATGAGAAGTAGTGCAAATTTAAAGGGGAGATAAAGGTTTACGACGAAAATTTAAAGTTTTGGCCTTTTGGTACGGAATATCGTAGCAAAAAGTGTAAAAATTACGTTGTATGAAAAAGTGACAAATGTTCAGGAAGAGAGATGGGAAAGCAAGGGTAAAGTTACATAATTACTTTCGCCATCTTCTTTTCACAATATATAAGCGCGAAATATGTTAATTACACGCTTCTTTATAAACTACTTCGTAATTTATTAGGATCCAGTCACATCTGTCAAGGGAGGGAAGGGTATATACGCGAATGCCGTGACCGTCATCGGAGACTTGAATGAGTTTGAGGCCTCCATCCTTGAGAACAACGGAGATTGAGGTGGAACCGGCGTCTAGGCTGTTCTCTACAAGCTCTTTCACGGCCGAGACCGGTCTCTGGATAACCTCTCCTGCCGCAATTCTGTTCACCACAGACTCGTCCAGGCGATGAATCGGCGGCGGATCCCTGGAATTCGAACGCGGAACCGGTCCTATTTCTACTTCCATTTCGACATCCACTCCTTCAGCAGACGGCAGCTCCGGATCAGCTTCCATGGTGGTGCTTCGTTTGGCGTCGAAATCGTTCAGTCTTCTATGCTACATACGCTCAAAGGTTTTACTGTGGTTTCGCGCCATGCTTTTTTTATAGGCCGCCAAATGAGAAGGGTTTTGCCGTTTTGTTCGATTTTTCTCAAACGGAAATACGTAGTAATTTAAAGGGAGAAACTAGAAAGTGCAAACCGCAAATTGACCAATGATTTTTTCATTTGGACTATAATTTGCTAGTCGGAACTGGTCCGATTTGGTCTGATCTGAACTGATATAATTTCTTTGTATTTTTACAACTATCCAAGTATGGTCTGATCTAGTCTAATCTGGTCTGGGACAGATTACAGTCCAAGTAAAAACATTCTTAAGGTAATGAACGAAATTCAATCAGCTCCTATATCATACATTCGGGTGTATGTGCACACGGCCCAACTAAGGAAGACAACCCAAAAACTAATACAAGCCAAAAAAAAATTGGTGGCATTTTTTGTAATATAGGCAAAAAATCACGACTTCCGCTAAATGAGCAATAATGCACCTTTAGTGAGCATCTGAACTAATGTATTGAGTATTAGGAAGATAATAATGAGTATCATGATCTTCTAATTCTTTTTCTCATTTTTACTGTTATAAGAACTTGTTAAATTATACTCCCTCCGTCCCCCAATTAAGTTCCCTCTTTCCTTTATGGGTAGTCCCTGAATTAAGTTTCTCTTTCCTTATTTGACAAATTAACTACATCAAAACAGTGTCAAACAGTGCAAAAAAATGTCAAAACAGTAAAGTTTACCCCCTATTAATTTTTTTCCTTAATAAGTGTGAAAAGCAATGAGGAACTTAATTGGGAGACGGAGGGAGTATCTATCATCCACTCATTGTAATTTCAATATGCGAGGTAATGTAATATGATACTTTTGAAATATGTATTGATATAACATTTTAAAAAAGAGCATAACATCAATTCCAAATGAGCATACATATCTTACAGAGTGCACTTTGTTATGAAAATCATAAAGTTTGTTAGTTGAACAACATGACATTTTAATTGAACATCAAACTTGCACTATTGAGATAAAAATCATGGTTTCTGGTGAATAAGCATCAATGAACTTTTAATCCATTATGTTGAATATTAGGAGTCTAATATTTAGAATCGTGATCTTTGTTTCATAACTTCTAATCCGTTTTTTTGTTAACACTTTAAAATAACATACTCCGTACATTTTTTGGAATTTCTATAAATATTTGTATACCCCGTTTTTTACAAAAACTGTATCAAAATTGCTAAAATTTTACTATTTTTCATATGACACCAATGTTGCATATATATATAAAAAATCATATCCATCGATTCTTATTGTACTATAGATCTTGAATTGTCGTGAATTTTTAACTCATAAATACCCACAAGCAGGGGTGTATTGCATATGGAATTAGTGACAATACATACATACATATATATAACATAAAAATTACTCAAAATATTATTTTTAAAATTTTAAAACTACAATTATAAATTATGGAAATTTCGCCGTGCTCAATTAAAATTCGTGATCAAAATCTCATGTTTATTTTAATGTGTGATATAACTTTTTTATTTTTACTCCAATTGTTACACAAAATTTATCAAAATTCCTATTTTTTTTTATTTTTCATATGATACGAATGTTGCATATTTAAAAAAAACTATTAATTTGTGCAGTTTATTATCGCTTTTTTCATGCACTTTTAATCAGAGTGATAGCTTGGAATAAAACAGCACAAATCTAGCATAAAGAATTAAAAATGAATAAAAGTGATGGAGTTTGTGCATTTTACTCTAAATTATCACACCTGATTAATTTTGTGCACCGTAAAATATAATCCTAAATTGCAAAAATTAATAGATTTTATTTTTGATTTTGTATATGCAACATTGGTGTCATATGAAAGATTATAAAAAGATTAATTTTTATATTTTTTTGTAACAATCTGAGTACAAATAAAACAGTAGCACTTAAAAAATATTTTTTAAACTGTTATTTTTTTAAAATTATTTATATGTTCAGAATTGGTGCCATATGAAAGAATAAAAAGTTATGAATTTTGATATAGTTTTTGTAACAATGAGTAGAGTACAAATTAAAAAACTGTTGCACTTTAAAATAAACATGGTATTTTATGTTTTGAATTGCATGCTTAGCTTTTCCTTTAAAAAAAATCGCTTAGCTTTAGGAAGTTTTTGAAATATATCGTAGGATTCCAACATATTACGTAGCTTAGTCCTAAGTTAACGTGAATCAATTCTAATATAACTTAAATAGCAATGTAACAGAAGTATTATTATATACTCCATACTAAATTGGAAAAAGAATCTAAATTATGATAATGAATGTTGGGTTAGAAAGTAACACGCACATGACAAAACTTTTCATAATTTTATCTTTGAAATGTATTATCTTTAGATAAATACTAAATACATACGTAGTATTAAATAAGCATTAGAATGTTGGATTTGTGGAAGTTAAACCAATTAAGACCCACACTAATGATACGTTTCCCAACATTTAAATTAAATTAAGTAGTAACAAAAAGCAAAGAACATAACGAATCCATTTAAGAAATTAAATTAAAGTGTTGATAATAGTAATTATGAGTAATATATATTATCCTTTGAATAAACGTCACCAACCAACTAATTATATATTTGGGTAAAACACGAAGTTGGTTTTATATTATACTCCCTCCGTCCCAGAAAATTCTTCCAACTTTCCTTTTTGGGACGTCCCAGAAAATTCTTCCAACTTCACCTTTTTGATTATTTGTGTGGCTCACATTCATTTCACCTTTTTCTTACACAACTACAACCATACATTTCTACTTTATTCCACTACCTAAATATGCGATCCAAGTCAAAGTTGGAAGAATTTTCTGGGACGGAGGGAGTACTACGTACGTAGTATACATTTCATATACAGAGTACGGAGTACCTATTTTCGTTTTTATATAGACTGGGTAGTGCACATTGTCATAAAAAGAAACTGATCAGAATTGTGAATATAAAAGCAACAATAATAATGACCCGAAAATGTACCTTCTAAAATTAGCTCTAATAATTAAACCTATTCCCTTTCTAGAGTGTATAAACATGTATATAAACCCCTGATTAGACGACATTTTAGCAAACTACTCATCATTATAATCAAAATAGAAAAGCTTATAGCATTTGTCATCATCACATACATTTTTTATTAAGCTTGAAGATATACAACATGAAGAAAAGCTCTTATAATTACTTGTTTCTGGTTCTACTATGCATGCATGCTTTCTTCATCTCCCAGAAAGTCTGTGCAGATGAAATTGAAGTGGGAAAGGAATCGATTAGGGTGATGAGGAGGGTTTTAATAGGATCAATGCCACCAAATTGCACTGGTAAATGTGATGGGTGCACGCCATGCGTGGCTACGCCTGTGGGTTCAGGAGACTTGAGCTGGGAATGCCTATGTGGGCCCCCACCACGGCATCAACTATCTCACTAATTGATTATTGATCATACACGTTTTTTGCCTTCGAGGGTTTCTCCATGTTTACATCAATGGCTTTAAGAGGATGGCTCATGATGCAATTGTTATGTTGAATAATAAAGGTTATTTCCAGCCCTTTTGATGGAAGTTTTAGTAATGTGGAACATATATTCCGTGTATTACAACATATATTACAGCATGAATGGCTATTTCAACTTTAAAACGATGGCTCATGGTGAAATCGTTATGTAGTTGAATAGGGTTTGGTGCATTAAACCCTAGTTGAATATTAAAGGTTATTTTCAACTTAAAAGTAGTAAGGATGTTTTTACTTGGACTGTAATTTGCCCCAGACCAAACCAGACCAGTCTAGACCAGACCAGACCAGTTCAGACCAGACCAGACCAGACTTGGATAGTTATAAAAATACAAAGAAACCAGACCTTACCAGACCAGACCAGACCAGTTCAGACCAGACCAGACCAGATCAGACCAGACCAGACCAGACCAGACCAGCAAATTACAGTCCAAGTAAAAACATCCTAACTCAACAATTCGATATGAGGATGCTTTCCCCTATTATTTTACTTTAATTGTTGTACCATATTTGTTATAATACGTATTAGTGTTGCGGTCTTCTAGTCCTTTTTTTTGCTTTTACTAAACAAAACGACACCATTTAGTTAAGTAAAATTCTTGGCCTTGTTTGGCAAATGGCTTATCAGCCATTTTTTAGCTTCTTTGACTACAATTAATGAGTTTGACTATTTAATAAGCTAAAACTATTGTTTGGTAAATGACTTATTAAGTTAGCTTATTGGACCATACCAGCCAAAAATCAAAACGCTGCATAGTCTAGCGTTTGGATTCGGCTGCTCCAGCTTGTGCCTGTAATGCCCTTCATTTATTCTTCGTTTTAATTCGTTTCTAATTTTCTATCCAATTAGTTAAAATATTGAGTTAATTACCAATTTAGGAGTAAAAAGTTTATAATTTGCCAAAATAGGAGTATTCACGTAACCTATGTTTGATAGGAGTCTTTTAAGACCATGTTGACAAAAATAACTCTCTTGTAAATCACGTAAGCGACTTGAAATTGAAGGCTCATCATTCAAGAGTCGGTAAAAAAGCATTGGCTCATCACTGCCTCCACCTCCGGCCTCCCACACAGGTGTTGCCCACCTCCACCTCCAATACTAGCGTTGCCATCCATCTCCGTCCAACTGCCATGCTATCGGCCGCCGCCACCTTCCAACTCCGTCACCGCCGCCCAACCTACCTCGCCGGCTAAAACTGCCGTCATCGCTATCCCTGAAGATTAATTACAAATCTTCAATGAAAATGAATTTTTTAAACTGTCAAAATATTGGCAGATTTTATGTGGCAGATTTGAACAAAACTGCCATAATCTTGGCAGAATATGAACTCGACAACTACATTTCTGCCATGAACTTGGCAAAAATTTATGCCATCATCCAAAAATTGAGAAAATCAGGAAAATTTGAGAAATTACAAACTGGAAATAGGAAATAGAAGTCCAACAATCAATGAATCGAATGCCAAAACTAAAAAAAAAAGAGGAATAGAAAAAATCTGAAAAATAGAATAATAGGAGGAGGAGGAGGAAGAAGATGAAAAG